CTCGTGGGTGTCGATGAGATAAGCGACAAGTCGGGGGAACAATCGAGACACGAGGAAGCGCGCGATTTCTATGGCGAAAATAGGATAATAGACGATTCCGTGACTAATCTCTGCCAACTCGTGAGCATCGAATTCTTTCCGTTCGATTCCTACGTCCTTCGCGAGCACCGCGTGGCCATTGCAAAACTGGAGTACTCGTGGAACTCGTAAACGTGTTTCGATGAAATTATAAAAGCAAGGACTCCTATTTTTCACACCCACGGATCGGTCCAATGAGTCCGTTTCCTAGCCTCCTTTCCACTGCTCACGAATTCGCACGTTTGGACAGACATAGCAAACTTGAAAGTCAATGAGTCAACCAAGCATAAATCGCAAGCGCCATGGGAACCGGCCGTTCGAAACAGTATCGAACATGCAAACAGACAGAAAACTGCACGGGAAAACTCGATATTCTCCCATTCTTCCTAACACCCCCTATTATCAAATTTGGATTATCCAAATTACACTCGTCCCCATTGTCTCACGCTCTAAAACCTTGTACCCCCAGTGAGCCTGGATTTTCCACCCCCTTATACCCTCTTATTCTTTTCACGTGTTTTACCTTCAATTTCTGCGCGTATACCTAGAAAATGGAACGATCCGAAATTCAAAAACGAAATTTCTTCCAAACTCGTGTCACTTTTAACCCTTATCGTGAGGGTTAAATCGGTTAAATCACCTCACACGTGACAATAGTACTTTGTCGCCGCGGTTATGCGTCACGTGAAGATGACAAGACGAAAATCTTTCGCATATTAACCGAAATCAGCTATAATGAAAATCACTTATAAAAATCTAGCGTAGCTAACCGATAAAGATTAACTCCGAAGCTTTGACTGCTCGATCCTACGGGAGTCTCCTGTCAGCATCACCGACTCGGCACAATTACCGGCCATTATTCGTCGGCTGAGGGATCGACGCCGATTTCTCGAAGCCACCCTTCGAACGCATTGTCCCTGGCCGTTGTGTAAGGACACGGTTCGCGTGTACGAGCTGCCGTACTCCGGTTCGTGGGTGTCGATGAGATAAGCGAGCGCAGCGTAGAGAGACGCGAGAAAATGGAGCAACGAGGGCACAAGTCGGTAGGAACAAGAGGCTGCGGAACGAGCCGGCGATTCGAATCGTCCCGCGGCCGCAGTACCCCGAGGAGTCGCCACGCTTTATCGCCACGCGAATCGGCCTCTCTGTCGCGCTTAACGATCGGATAAATTTATAACGCGAGGGGGCGAACACGGAGGCGATTTCGACTAATACGTCCTGTATAAACGTCGCTCGAGACGTTCGTCGATAATGAACGGCGAGGCTCTCGCGTCTCCTCTCGACGAATGATGGCGCGATAAATAAGTAACGGGGTGAGATTAGCTGTTTTATTTCAGCCTGCAGACTCGGTTTATAAGTCGGTGTTTAGATTGGTCTTGATACCGGCGAACAGATATCGGATAGTTCTTCGTCGTTTGTTTTATTTTCACCGTTTATAATTCGAGATTCGAATCTTCGCGCGGGCTACGAATTCGTTGTGTCGTTATTATAGCGGCGGGTTGTATATACTTGAAGAAAATTTTTCTGTGTGAGAAAATATATTCGGGAAAATTAAAATTAAAATTAGGATAGAAAACGCACGTGTTCTGTTATCTAAACATTTTTTCATTGGGGCATCTGTGTTCTCTAATTAATTTAGATAAACGAGATTATATAGTAATACTTTAGTCAGGATCTATTTAACCTCTTAGGCACAGCTGAATTTTGCACGAGGCTGTTTCTTTGGACGGCACAGTTCAACGCGATTTATGCATAAATGATACAGCACTGCAACGTGTGTCGGAAAATAATGTTCTAAAATATTATAAGAATATGGATCGGCATGTTAAAAAGAGCATGTGGTATATTAAGAGTATATTCATTTAAATGAAAAGCAACAATTCATACCTGACATTGACTTATTAACATTGTTATAAAATATTGTGAAGACAAAAAGGGCGTGAAACGAAACATATGAAAAGATATGAGCATTTCATCCTATTATCATTCAACTCCACTATAGAAGAACGTCGTGCCTAAGAGGTTAAATACGAAAAATTATCGGTTTACAACCGATTAGAATAGCACTCGTTAGGGTAACTCATGCTCCGTTCTTCCCGAATTCTCTCGAATCCTCTCGAATCATCGAACCCAACACTCAGCTGCCTGCCTAATTCCCTCGAACACGCGCCGCGTACTCGTCGCAAGACCCAACGAAGGTGGATACTCGAGGTGGCGCGAAACCCATCCTCTAAATTCCGCCACGAAATTTAGCCCGCGAACGTTGTCACCTTTATTACGAAATAATCCGAAGGAACGATCTCGGAACCAGCTCGTGGAATAAAGTGTTACGACGAACGAGCTGTTTACGAGGACAAGTACAAGGGTCCTTCATCAAAAATCGTGCCCCTCCGCGTGGTCATACCGGTCTCGGGCCACGGTTTATCGTTTCTCAATCGATTCGACCGATCCCGTGGCGCTGTGATAACCTGATTTAGCGCCGGTGACACATCGGCGAACGAAACGGAAAATCGATCGAGCGGAATGCCCGGCTGCTCCTTTGTCTCGTAAATTCACCGACAAATCCCCATGTGCTAGACGCTATAGCTCGGAGTTTTCTCTCCACCGATCGCGAAAGAATGTATTTTCGTGTTTACAATCGGTCAACGATCGGCTCCTGCGCCCGTGCACGGACAATGGGGCACGGTCGAAGGGATCAGGTATACAACGAGCGAGCCTGAAAATTAATCGTTCCTTACATGACACTCGTAATTACCGCTGACAGAAACGAGCGCGTAATTCTCTTACATTTTCACATTTGTGCAACGGAACACGAAGCGTCCGGTAATTACTCGCTTCCTGAAAACCTTCCAGCAGTCTTCAATAAATTCGTCGATATTTTTCTCCACGCGTCCATTAAAATCGGACAAATGTTCGGAATATTACGCTCAGGTACCATTGTATTTCTTCGTAAACGGCATTTCGGGCACGAAACCGCCGACAACGACTGAGAATCGGCTTTCGTGTCACGACTGCGATCTAAAGGCGGCGTTGAATGCAGCAGAGCAACGGATATACGGATATACGTATATGCACACGTCGCGGACCCAGTTTCGTTTAGAGAAATGGCAAAACCGCTATCGGCAAGATGATCTCGTGAGCGGTCGCGTGGCGGGATCATTAATGGAGCAGGCAGAATCCTCCCCCTCTCTGGCGCAAAAATGCCAGCCGACGTTCGTGAATCCTGCTCTAGGGGGGGAGGGGTGCGCGCACACAATCGCGCTGGGCCCTGGCTGCACGCACGTGCGTGTGTGGGTTCCAGCACGCGTGGGCGATGCTGTGGCACGCGACACGACCGTTACGTTCGAAACTGGCGCTGGCGGGGAGGCGAGAAAGGGACGAGGGGTGAAATTCAGAAAGGGGAACCGGGCGGATTGCCGCGTACACCGACACGAACGTGTTTCCTGCTCGTCGGTGCGCACGTGAAAAGGCGGCTGGCGTGTAAAAAAAACGGCACAGCAGCCAATGCGACACTCGAGAGCGTGCACTCTTATACGTACACAGAGAGAGAGAAAGAGAGAGAGGTACACGTTGGCTGGGCAAGTTACCGGAGGAAGGAAGGTAGAAGGAGAGGGGAAGATTCAGGTAGAATCGAACGGAAATTCGAATAGAAAAATGCGAGAGCGACGGTAGGGTAAGGAGGGTGCAAACGTATCCCCGAGCGAGCGAACGCGAACGCGAACTAGAGGAAGAGAGAGAGAGAAAGAGAGAAAGAGAAACGCGTTCGCGTTGAATCGGTGGTGCATGTGCACCGACGACAGCGCAGAGGTGACGGGTCGTTGGGCCAGGTCTCGAGCGGTGAGGGGTGGCAACTGTGGCGGAGGGGAGGGTGAGTGTTACGGTGGGGCCCCAGCATCTGCTCCGTACAACAACGCGACGTAACAGAGCGCGAACAGAGCGAAAAAGAGAAAGAGAAAGACGGGGACACATCGCGGTGCCCCCCTCTTTGCCAAGGGGGAACGAGACGGTGTACGAAAAAGGGGAAAAGAGGAGAGAAAAAAGGAGGAAGGAAAAGGAGAGAGCGGGAGAGAGAAGGCAGTAACAGGAGAGGAGCGCAGCAGGATAATCGCGTCGCACTCACGAACATCCTGCACCTCCTGTTGTTGCATAGAACAGAGGGGGGATACGCGAGCCGGCGGAACAGATGCCCAACCTCCGATTGGTCGATGGCCCGCGACCGGGCGTCCCCTATTGGCGGGTAGCGCGGGGCCCGCGGGCCTGCATTGGTCAGGCAGCACGTGCGGGCCACCTGCACCTGGTCGGTGGGGTGACGTGTTATAAAAGGCCCTGACGCACCCCCCTGCCAGTCAGAGACCGGCTTGCAGCCGAACCGTTTTCAGAATCACGAGATCTCACGTTCCTTCAAACATATACATTCGTGTTCACCCGCCAGCCGTTTGTTCCTTTTCTCCTTTTCCTCCTTCTTTTCTTCTTCTTCCTCCTCTTCTTCCTCTTTTCTACTTATACCGTTCGACAGTTCGAATACGTTTAACCTCGGTGCCGGGCGAACAGTCGGTTCAGTTCAGTCCCGACGAGCGTACGGTGAACATCGATTTGTCGTTCGAGAAGATCGTTCGTGTGTTCGCTGCGAGAAAGTGCATTTCGTCGGAAAACGACATACAAGCAACGAGGACTGTTTCGTATCATTCCGATTCCCGCATACATGTGTGCCGCAGTGCAGTGATCACGTTCCTCAGGATTACCTTGACAGTTACGCTTCGATCTCTGATACAGAGGAATATATACTTGGTGTGATCAGTGCGAGAAATTCGAGAACAATTGGATTAATATCGCTGTGTAGCGGCTTCGCGGTGTCCAGTACCTGCGAACTGCCGAAGAACGTCTTCGAACGGTGAAGATACCAGCCGAGAAACAAGATCAAGATGCTGGTCGAAGAAATGCCCAGGAGCTTCGTGAAGAAGAACAACAATTACAGTCACTGTCCGCTTAAGAAACGGCCAGTCCATGTCTTGCCAACCGAAGAAGTTCCGGAAGTGATCAAAGGTGAGTCCCCCGACTATTTCGATTCGTTTCCCCGTCGTAACTCTTCGTCCGTTTGACCTTTGACCATCGACCTCCTCCTCCGCCTAATTGTCCCCGCGAGTCCAAGTTTATCGGAAAGTTCAATCGTCTAAAACGAACTTTCCCCTTTTCTTCTTCAGAAGAGATCATCGACGTCGTGATGGACGACATTCCCGAGCCTGAGAACCTCAGCACGAAGCCCGAGGATCTCAGCAGAACGGCGGAACGCCATCAGCAGCAACAGGAACCGGAACAACGCGTTTCCAGGTCTCCTTCGCCGGTTGTCAAAGTCTCTTCCTCGCCGCCGTTGGTAGCCAGGCCGATCTCGCCAACGGTGCACAACCATATCCACCCCGTGCATCATATCCACCATCACCATCACTATCCGACGAAGGCGATCACGCCGCCGGCAGGCATCGCGCCGATTCATCCCGTGGCGAAGAAGGCGCGAGTGGAAGTGATTCAGCACGATAATTCGTCGTCGACGGCCGCGGTGACAGCCACGTCGGCACCCTTGCACTTCATGGCTAGCAAAGCACCCTTGGAACCCTTAAACTTGAACACGCCAGTCGAGCCATTGGCGCATTACGCGACTCCGGCGTGGGCCCGAACGGCTCCGCTCTATCCGCCGCACTATCTCCCTTATCCGGCGGCTTATCATCGTTACCACCACGCTGGAGCAGAGTTGTATCCGTCCTATCCGATGCCAGCGTATCCCAACTCATCCCCGGAGCATCATCCGTCGGTTTCTCCGCCGCCGCACGGTGCACTGACCTGCCCAACGATCCAGCGACCCATCGCCAGGAGTTACGCCCACTGGGCCAGTCCCGATCACTGTGGTTTATCACCGACCAGTTCTCTTGGCTCCGGATCTCTCAGGTCACCGCCACCGGTCACCCCGGAAGACCTGTCTTCCCCTGGAAGCGACAGCGGAAGATCATCGGCTGGTAGCACCTCGGCAAGCTCCACCATCGTGAATCCAAAAATCGAGAAGACCGGAGTGTCAAGCGGATCCACGGCGTCCTTGTCCTCGTCCTCGTCGTCCTCGTCGTCCTCTTCGTCGTCCACGTCGCCGAGGTATCAATGTCCCGATTGCGGCAAGTCGTATTCGACGTACTCGGGACTGTCGAAGCATCAGCAGTTTCACTGCGCGGCGGCCGAGGGCCAGGCGAAGAAATCGTTCTCGTGCAAATACTGCGAGAAGGTGTACGTGAGTCTGGGTGCGCTGAAGATGCACATCAGGACGCACACGCTGCCCTGCAAGTGCCATCTCTGCGGGAAGGCGTTCTCCAGGCCGTGGCTGCTGCAGGGCCACATCAGGACGCACACCGGGGAGAAACCCTTCAGCTGTCAGCACTGCAACCGAGCGTTCGCCGACAGGAGTAACCTGAGGGCGCACTCAGCAGGATGTCGCTGTTGACGAAGCACCAAGAGGGCGGCTGTCCAGGAGTAGCGGTGCCGATGGGCTACGGATGCTGAGGACGTCGAGATGAAAGGTCGTCGAGAAAAACTAGCCTCGAAGATATACATACACACGGTGTGATCGTCCCTTAGAGGAGTCTTCGGGTTCCTCCGACACGTTCCTTTACTAAATAGTACTTTGTTATACCGTTCGATTGATGAAGTGCCTTACCCGCGTTGATCGGAGTACAAACGAGTAATAAGATAAGAAGTAGGGCGCGATCGGAGAAATTTCCTGTTCCCGAGGTGGGTTCGGTTCCTCGTTCAATCGTATAACTTGACTGACAAAGACTAGGAGACAGACACATCGAGTACCTGGCTTTCGATTAAAATTCATGCCCGTGGACAGCGCCGTGAATTTTAAACGAGATCATCGATACGACACACCGCGTCTAGGAACTGGACCCAGACTCGAGCGCGCGTTCTCTCGAAGGGTCACGAAGGAGGGAATATCGGATCGATCGCGATCCAACTTCTCTCTTCCAAAACATGGTTGTGCATTTCTTATACTTTTCCTATTTTTTTCTTTTTTTTTTTTTTTTTTTTTTTTTTTTCTTTTTTTTACTTTTTCCATTTCTCGGATCCCTTCGTCGTCCCGTTGTAAATAGTTCGGTGTGTGCGTGTGACAATCGGCGAGAATGGACGCGTTTATAGGACTGTACTTATCGTCCTCTAAGTATAGACGGGGAGAGCTCTGTGCCCTTCGAAAGAATCGAAATTTTTGCCGAACAGAGACGCAGGAAACGGATGAGAAAAGTCGATGCAACCGCTTGACGCGGTCCCGTGAAGCTGCCGTGCCATTTTCGTATTTTTTTTTTTCTCTTCTCCTCTTTCTCTCTTTTCTATCTTTTTTTGTTTTTTCTTTTTTTTTTTCTTCCGTTTTCTTTCGATAACTTCCGTCTTCGATCGATTCGAGCGGACGCGTACACGCGACAAACGTGATTTTCGAGATCGAAGAGGAGACTCGTTGGTCGATGGAACGGTGGATCGTTCGCTTGTCCTTTTCGTTCGGCTCGCGAGCATCGTTCGTTGCGACGAAATACTACGAATATGATAAAACTGATAAAAATGAAAATAAAAAAAAAAAAAAATGGTTGGAGGAAACGTGCGAATGGTTGATTAATCGCGCGTACCGTGCACCAAAGTGCCATTTTCCGAGATCGTGTGCCACGTGCCGAGCGTCGGCTGTAAATAATTGAACGATTAGCTGTTAAGGCACGCGCGAAACGAAGTATTATAATTCGCCATAACGTAGAACGGAACGAGACGGAAGAAAAGTATTTAACGATTGTCCGGTGCCTGAGTGTTTATGTTTCTTCGTGTCCTTTCGACGAAACTCGGGATTCGGTTGCGAGCGAATGAGAGCGAACGATGCGAGAGTGAGAGAGCTTAAATATTTTATACTTCATTTGCCTTTTCGTTGTTTTGTACTTTTTTCTTTGCGTTTTCTTCTACGATTTTTTCCCCTTGTTTCTCTCTTTTTTTTTTCATTTTTTTTTCCCGCATAATTTTCTCTTTTTTGTAAATCACTGTAAGTTACTCGAAGAAACTAGTCATTGTACAATATATTATATATATCTATATAATTGTGCGAGGAAGAGAAACGAGAGGCTCGCTGCGAGGTGATTACTCCGACTGGTCTTTTGGTGTTCCTCGTAGAGAAGTCACTCGAAAAAGATTATATAACTAATCGAGCCGTCGTCCGGTCGTTTTTGTTTCAAATATATTCGTTTAAAGACGAGAGAGAATGGAAAACGGCGAACGGCTCAGGGCGAGTACCACTCTTTCTAGTTTTTGTAAAGAAAAAAGTAAACTACTATTTGAGATACAGATATCACCTATATATAGAGATATTTTATACGAAATAAATTACTTGGATTTTAAACCTTACACACGGGTCTACGTGTTCTTGCCAAACCTGATACCCATATCGATCATTCCCCCCCAGTTATGAGTACGAAAACGTTACAATAAATCACGTTCCGTTTCCAGTTTTCGGGCTTATTAACACACGCGCGGCTCATAATCGCTTCGACACGCACGCACGTATCACTCGCGTATAGCTCGTCGAATATTTCCTCTCCGCGTGTGTGTGTGTGTCGTACTGTACGTTATCGTACACGCTCTGGATAGTTAGCGAAACGAAGTCAAAGCTTGCAGTCTGCAACGGAACAGACTCCTTCATTCACGACGTCCGCGAATGCGACATCGAGTCACAATGTTGCAAAAAGGAACCACTATGGGTAGCCAAGCAGCCAGCTTTCATTGACGTGCAATTAATGAAAGTTCGTCGGAAAGTTTCGATAAGGAATCAATCGGTGGAAAAGAAAGGAAAGAAAAGGAAAAAAGGGAAACACATAGACATATATCCTGCATGGTCCGAGCGCAGAAGGCAGCGAGATGCAATCTCGAGGCGGACACCTCGAATATCGCAACGAGCTCGTTATCGGCGCGCGCTCGCGGAACAACGCATAACTTTCGTCGACGTGCATAATAATGCGCTTTGTCTTTCGACAAACAACGACCACGCGGACCCGGTTTATCTCTCCATCCGTACGATCGGGTCCCGGATCGGTCGTTGCTGCTCGTCGAAGGAGCCCTCGGGGTTCCCCGTGGCTCCGATAAAAGTAATTGTTGCTGGCCAGCCCCGGGTTCGAGACGAATCGATTCGATTCGAGGCAAGATCCGACGGACAGCCGAGTCCCGGCCACAGCTTAAATATCCCGCCGCTCCGACGCTGGTCTACGTTCGGAGTAATTACATTCCGCCAGGCGACAGATTTGCCGCGTTAACGATAGATAAATCTATCCAGTTAGCGTGGCGGTCGGTTTTTCTGCCGTTCGGCGTGCCTGCTCGCGAGACGTGATACTCACGGCTCTTTCTTTTCCAGCCGCTGCTCGCTGCAAATGTCAGCTTCGAACGGAGTAACGGTTCGTTTCTCTTTCGTTCCCCGCTGGAAAAAGTTGGGGATGTTCGTACGCGACGAGCCGTGGAATCCGTGGAACGCGGCATTTGCCACGAGTCCGACGCTTTTTCGTATTAGGATAGGTTGTGGACAAGCTGGGTCAATGGTGCTTCACGGTTCTGGGAACTGGTTTATCGGAATCGAGTTTAGCGAAATTTTTAGAGTTAAAAATTGTTGGATAGTTCGAATTTCCCGCGCTTTTGTAGTAGACGATACTAGCGACATCTGCTATTTTCTACGTTGAAATAAAATTAACGATCGAGGACACTTCTTCACAAGCAATCGTAAAGTCAGCACGTGCTGTTATCGTGAGAAAGTCTTAGCCCTAAAAACCCTATCGTTTCACTGTATTTGTTGTTTAATACAGTGGATAGGTTATGTTTTATCAGGATAATGTTTCACAATCGGAATAACTATACTTTCTTTGCGGTAGCTTGGAGGGAAATGTCTTCCACCGTTAGGTTTTATTTAAATAGTCAAAAAAATTCCAGATGTCGCTAGAAGCGTCTAGCAACATGGAGCGGGAGATTAGAACTCTCCAACAGTATTTTCTAACAAAACTTATTTTATTTCTACACCCGTGGTATCGATAAAAGGTATACATCTAGGATCTTCATCTTCGTAATTTATCTTCAACGTAGAATAAAAATACGATAAATAATTATTGTTAAATACAGTGGATAGGTTATGTTTTACTAGGATAATGTCTCAGTAGCAGAATTACTATTATACTATAATATAACTATAATAGAATAGAATAACTATTTCTTTGCGGTAGCTTGGAAGGAAATGTCTTCCACCGTTTGGTTTCATTCGAATAACCAAAAAATGCCAGATGTCGCTAGAAGCGGCTAACAACATGGAGCGGGAAATTCAAACTCTCGAATAATAATAGACCATGAAAACGTGAGAAGGAGAGAAAAGACCTACCTCGATACATACTCTCCTTTCAAACAGCTCCTCGATTACACGTACACACGCGAGTTGCATGGAAAGGTTCATCGAACGAGCGGTGAAAAATATTTGCACGGTGTCTGAAAGAGGCGAACCTCTCGCACCTTTTTCGCGACACCGAATCCGGATTAACGAGCTCGAGGAGAATCGAATCGATTGAATGGAGAAGCCGTTTTACTTCATCAGGATACACGCTCGTTTACCGCACTCGTGAAACGAGAAAACGTTTTCACGAGCGGCACGAGCTATCAGCCTCTTCCTCCGGCTCATTCACACGTTCATTCATACGCGTTAGCGGAGCGTACAAAGGTCTTTTAGCGAAGCAAACAACATATGGCGAGCAAACGCGTGTTCGAAACGCGTTCAATTCATTGGCAAGCAACGGGCTACCTGCGCCGCGTATTAAATCCCACGCGCTTTTGCCACGTACCAGCAATTGAATCACCGCTGCCTGCCTCCGATCCAGCTTTTTGTTCGGCATTCTCGCCCATATGGGTGTGCTAAATCACCCAACGATTTTCCCATCCCCCCTAGTCACACTGTGTCGCGTCGTCAAACACTTACACTAAACACCGCTTATTAAACGCCCGTTCCGACCCCGGTGCCCCTCCGTTCCCCTCTCGCGCGAAATGGCCGCTGAAATTGTTCGAAATTCGAATCGGAGCGACGTGTAGCCTCCGATTGTTCCATTTCCAGGCGAAACGATCGACGAGAAGATCGCGAGGCGCCAAAATCGGCGGTGAAAGTCAAAGGTGGGCGGACGCGGATTGTCGCGAGTCCGCCTCGCGATCGCGCCAACATTTGGGTACATAGTAACCGTGTCTGGGGGCGCGCCGATTTCGCGGGTCCTTTGATCCTGGATTTATTGGGCACCGTGTGACGGATCCGCAGAATCGGCCAACCTTCTCTGCGCGTTCAATAGCTCGATGCTCATATTTTTCTTTTTAACATACGCGATCCTGCCCATTTATTCCTCCGATCGCCACGCGCGGCGATTTTGCAGGCTCGTGTTAATTGTAAAAAGCTGTCGGCCTTCCACGCTGCTATAAAGAAATCTAACTCTTAGCCCGCTTATTTTAACGGGCTAAATCTTCAACAT